AGAACAACTGGAAAAAGCCATACTTTATATCCTGTTTATAATTATTCAAATTTTACATTAGAGTAGATCATAGACTCAAGCATAACAAATCCAACTAAAATCTGCCAGAAGAAAGTGTAGGAGGGGACCCTTGCAATCTTGGGTAGGCAAAGATAGACAAACAGAAAGCTTAAACAATAAATAAAAGTTCAATCAAATTGCCTTCATTAAGCTCAGAAATGTTTCCTGTTTGGAATACTCCATCAGGAAATGTAGAAAAAGGGGTCAGGGAGACTGGACTTATGTTTTCTGTCTGAGAATGGTAGGTGATGTTGCCGTGGCCCCAAGAAATGTTCACTCATCAGCAATGTTGTGTAAGTTTGAGCTCTTGATGCGCCTGCACTAGAACAGCAACCACTTCCAGTTACACTAGGACCTGTGGGCCCTACCCGCTGGCATGAGCTGCTCCTGGGTACAGCCACAGCAACAATGGTTGAGGAAAATGTGGGGCTGACGCGAGTACCTGCCTCATCCCATTTCTTCAAAATGAAGACACACGCAGCCTGGGCCAGGCCAGGCCAGCTCAAGGGCAGTCCTCACTGTAAAAGCCCTTCTCCACATGGGGATGGACAGACCATGTTTGATGTTGAGACTCACAGCAGCAGGCCCAAGGCTGTCAGTCAGAAGTTGTAGGAAGAGAGAAAGAAGCTGAGGTAAAGAGAAGTGCAGGCTCGTTGTCCAGCGTGCCCAGTAGGTCTGAAAATGTTCAGATCAAAGAAGCTCACATTGGGTTTACACGCTCGCCCTGTGCTCCATCTCTAAGCATGAAGAAAACCGGATCTCTGCTTCTGGGATACCTCACTCAGGATGATCTTTTCTAATTCCCACCATTTCAGATGGAAGGGGAGGTCCTGGGGGAAGGGAGGAGAAGTGGGAAGGAGGGTGGTATTGGGAGGGGATGGGGGGCTACAGCTGGGATACAAAGTGAATACATTTTAATTAATAAAAAATAAATTAATAAAAAAAGAAACCTGGAGCCACAGAGAGGGCTTCCTGTTGGCAGGGCTTGTGAGCATGCTCTTTCCACTCCTTCCCTTCGCATGTCCGGCCTTGGCGCCTGACATCTGTTAGAAAAGAACTGAGTCAACCTTTTGCCAACACTGCTAAATGGAAGGAAAAGCCCTTAAAAGTGGGTGTGGCCTGTGGATGTTGTTACAGTCATGTGCTTTGAAACTGAAGCAATTTAATCTTGTTTTTTCATCTGTTTCCAGCCACTCCCAAAGTCTTTGTTTTAGTCAAACTCTATTGAGGTGTTTAACTAACACTATTCCCCACCTGGCCTGTGGGTCACTTTAGAATTCTCTAAATTTATTTACTTACTTACTTACTTACTTATCTATCTATCTATCTATCTATCTATCTATCTATCTATCTATCTATCAATCTATCTATCTTTTTTAAGATTTATTCACTTTGTATCCCAGCTGTAGCCCCCTCTCTTATCTTCTCCCAGTCACCCTCCCTCCCTCCTTTCCCCCTAAGACCCCCTCCAAGTCCACTAAAAGGGGAGGTCCTCCTCCCTCACTATCTGACCCTACCCTATCAGGTCTCATCAGAACTGTCTGCATTGTTTCCTCTTTGGTGTGGCAAGGCTGGAGGGGACAGGAGCTCTACAAGGAGACTAACAAAGTCAAAAAATTTGGGCCCAGGGGATTCTTCAGAGACTGATGCTCCAACCAAGGACCATGCATGGCGAGGACCTAGACCCCCTGCTCAGATGTAGCCCATGGCAGCTCAGTCTCCATGTTTCCTAGTAAGGCAAGCAGGGGCTATCTCTGACATGGACTCAGTGGCTGGCACTCTAGAATTTTCTGGCACCGTTTTCTCTCTCACAAATGCCAGCAGGAGGTTATCACTTGTCCCCATTGCTGTTTCCTCTTAGAACCACCATGCCATTCCAACTCTGGTTGCTTCACTAACATCTCGCTCTACAGCAAGGTCAAATAAGCAAATGACACACAAAAGCATCAAAGACATTTCTTTGGTTTAAATTTATAGTTATTGAAAAGTAAACAAAAACAACAAAAATGGAAGGCATAAGAAGAATATTCTGGACAAATAAAAAGACATTTTAATAAGGAGTGCACTATTAAAAGACTGGAATAACATGCTTCTATACATCTGAGACAGTGCTTGAAACCAGATGGAATAGTAACCTTTGAGTGTGAAGTTGGTGGGTTTAGAGTCACCATTGGAGGGGCTGGAGAGATGTCCCAGTGGTTATGAGTGCTGGCTGCTTGTCCAGAGGAACCTGATTTGATTCCAAGTACCCACATGGTGGCTGATTCAATGTCCTCTTCTGGCTTCGTTGGCACCAGATGCACATGTGATGTATAAACATAACAGGCAGGCAAAGCACCCATACACATAAAATAATGGAGGAGTGGCATCACCATGGGAGCAGATCTCTGTCTCTGAGAGACAATACGCTACAATACAATCAAAAGGGCATGGACTTTTAATAGACATTTTATAAAAGAGTGATGATTCTCTAGCAAGCACGCAGTGAGGAGATATGTATCATTGATCATTCTGAGCACAGGGACTGAAGCCTCAGTGAAGTGCCAGTATCTAAGTACTACATCTTGGTGACGAAGCATAGCTATGTAAAAGCTTTTAGACCACATTTCTGTATGTGCGTAGCTGTGCATACATGTGTATGAGCCTGTACATATCATGACTTGGCACATATGTGGAAGTTAGAAAACAACTTGTGGGAGTCAGTTTTCACTTCCTCCTATGAGGGCCCCACGTTCAAACTCAGGTCATTGGGCATGGTGGCAAGTGCCTTCACCGGCTGTACCATCTTGCTGGCCTAGAGCTGGCTTTGTTTGGCTTTGTTTTTTTAATGACAAAAATATGAAATATTTCCGTAGAGCTTTTTGGTGTTATTGTTATCTGTTGCCACCTGACTGTGCAAAAGTCAAGTGTCCCAGAGCCTTTAGTCATACCTGACTGCACACACTGGTCAACACTGACAGTTGACTCTGCCTGTAGTAACCATTCTTTGCTCTCAGGTCTCTGGGATCAACTCTTTTAGATTCCATGTGCGACTGAGGTCAGCAGGCACTTGTCTTTCTGTTCCTAGTTTATGTTATGTAATAGTAATCTCATTTAAGACATGATGCCTCATGCCTATAATTCCAGAATTGGGATGCTGATGCAGGAGGATTGCTGTGGGTTTGAGGCCAGCCTGTCTTCTGTTCTAGAAGTTTCATGGTGTCAAGCGTTAACATTGGAGGTTTTTGTTCGTTTGTTTTTGATTTTGATTTTTTATCCATTTTGGGTTGTGTTTTGTGAGAGTGATAAGGAGCAGGGCTCTAGTTTCACTCTTCTGTATGTAGAAGAAGTAGTCTTCAGCACTGTTAGTGGCTGTCCTGTGTGTCCTTAGCCCCTGCTGGAAATCAGTTGGTTGCAAAGGCATGAGTTTACTTCTGTGGTCTATTCTGTTCCTTTTGTCTGTACTACAGCTATTCAGGTGTGTGTGTGTCTTTGCTGGTGTCAGCAGGGCCCAGAAGGGGGCATTGCATTGGATCCCCTGAAGCTGGAGTTAGCAGCAGCTGTGAGCTGCCTTACACGAGTGCTGGGATTTGAACAAGTACCCTCTAGAAGAGCAATAAGTGCTGTTAATCACAGAGCCATCTCTCCACCCTTGGTAGTGTTTTAAAGTCATGTGGTACAGTGTTTCCAGCTGTGCACCATTAAACACAGCTGTGCTGAATAAAAAGTGGGAACGTGAGCATCCTTTTCTCAATACAGATCTCTGAGAAAAAGCTTTCAGATTTTCCCCATCAGTATAGAGCAAGTCATCTATCTCGTCTCTCTGTTTGTATTTCTCTGTTTCTTTCTGTGTCTGTCTCTCAAACAAAAGTACTTTCTTAGCCTTCCCTTCTTTCTTCTGTGTGTTCATGTAGGAGAATGTGGGCATGTGTGCTGGAACACATGTATGGTCAGTGGGCAACTTTTGCGTATTGGTTTTTTTCTCTCTACCTCATTTCTGAAGTAGTCTGTCGACTTGTGTGTGTTTCACCCTCAGGCTAACCAGCCTGCGGGATTCTGGGCACGTCCTTCTCTGTGCTCCATCGCGTGTAGGAGTGATTACAGATGTGTGATGTGTGACAACGTCAGGCTTTTAACAAGGATTCTAGGATTCAAATTCAGGCCATCAAGTTTGTCTGTCCCGCCCTTTATTTTACCTGCAGAACGACCTCTGGTCCCTGCTATTTATTACTGCAAAAGGCTTTTACTGTGTTTAGTTATGATCCTTTGGGATTTTTTTTTTTTTTGTAGTTTGTTTCTGAAGACAATTTTAAAAATAATTTATTTATTTTTATTTTACGCGCATTGGTGTTTTGCCTTTATGTATGTCTGTGTGAAGGTGTCTGATCCCTTGGAACTGGCCCTACAAATATTTGTGAGCTGACATGAGGGAACTAGAAGTTGAACCCAGGTTTTCTGGAAGAGTAGGCAGGGCCCTCAGTGGCTGAACCATCTCCCCAGTTCCTCATTATGGTCCTTCTAGCCTGAATTTGTTCGAGATTTTTGTCCTGGAAGGATTTTGAGTTTATTAGATGCCCTTCTGCAACTATTGATAATCATGGTTGTCCTTCTGTTAATAGGATGCATTTTTTTTTTATATTGTATTCTTGATCACTTAAGTCTTAGAACTGGGTTTTCCTGTCAGCTGGACTGTTCCTGGTTTAATGGCAAAGAGTGCTGTGAACTTGTTCCATCTGTCTGTGTGTTGTGGAGGAGAGGGGAAATGGCTGTTTGGCCCACATCTCCTCCCTGCTTGATGGCTTGTGTTGTCTGTGCTGTTTTGTGAGTCACAGTACATGCATACGTTTCCCGGTGTCATTGAACGTGTGGAAACATTTTGTATGATTTCAACTACAGAAATGAGGAAGGAGGCACTGTCAAGTAGGCTATGTACTAAACAATGAAACTTCTCTTTTGCATAGGTTTGCTGCAGAGGGAGAAAGTGGCAGTTGAAGCGTTTCAGATATGCTGTCTCCTTCTGCCTCCCGAAAACAGGAGGAAGTTACAGCTGTTGATGAGGATGATGGCAAGGATCTGCTTAAACAAAGAGATGCCCCCACTATGTGATGGCTTTGGCACCCGCACACTGGTAGGTTGGTTGTTAACATGTATGATGACCTATGTTTTCAGTCTGGAATGCAACCAAATCCTGTTCTGAGCAGCCAGACGAAAGCAGGAAGGAGGCTTTCTTGAAGAGCACGACCAGCTCTCCACCCAGACTTTCTGTGCGTTTGGTTCAAGGACCTTGAAGAACACAGTGGAAATAAAGAGGGAGTAGGGAACAGGCTCTTTTTGTAGAGACAGCTGCTGTGCCTTTCTTACCACCTTCCAAATGACCACCTCTCGTCAACACAAAGACAACGAAGGCGAGAAGACCGGGTAAGAAGACCACAATCTTCTGTTCCAGTACAGGAAACTGTGGGGCACATGGACTGTGTGACTGGGGAAACCAGCCCGGAGCTAGAGTGAGACTGAGACGGGTTCAGACTCCAAAAATCTCAATCTTGAGACCTGCAGGAGTAATTCTCGCCCCTTCCCTGCTCTGTGCCCGCATGGCCTGGCTGCGGTGCAGGTAGTTGTGCAGCCTAGCACCTGGGATACCTGTCCATGCAGACGACATATTCCCAGCACCTCAGCTCCTGCCAGCGATGTCCACTCACCTGAAACCCGTACCCACTTCCCCAAGGTTCATACAGCCCTTGCTCCCCCCAATAAAGAGAGCTGCATCCCTGGGAGTTATGTCCCTGAAGGGCTGTATCACTAAAAGAGCTGTATCAGAGAAGCTTTCTCCCTCAGGCACTCACCACTGAACTGGGATCCTACAAACATACCGGCCCAGCTAAGCTTTATTCCTTAGGGTCCAGCGCCTGTACCATCCTCCCCCTGCTCTAGACACTTTGGGAAGAGAGGGAGGTTTTTTTTTTTTATTGAGAATTTCCTACATTTACAGATTAATATGCTGTTCTGATACACAGACTCACTGTAGAAATATTTAGTTAAAACTAATTAACATGTCTGTCATATCACCTATTTATTTATTCATCTTTGTGGAGTTAAGATTTACCTTCCCAGCAGTTCTGACCCCTTCCACGTGTTGTCATTGGCAGTTGTGGTTGTGGCTGAGGATAGACCCCGGAGGTTCTCCTGATTGGCGCTTCATGTGCTTCACCCAGCATCTCTTGCTCATCTTCTTCCTGCCACTGCCTGCTGCAGATTACACCTGCCTTTCTCAGTTGGGTAGAGAGATTGCTTCTCAGATTCCATACGTGTCCTTTCCATGCTCTGGGGAATCCCCCGGTCTCCTTTTAGGGAAGAGTGTGCCGCCCACATGGATGACTCTTGACCCGTTCTTGGACTAAAGAGACCTTTTTGAAAAGTTGAAGAAAATTTGTACTTTTTCCCTTCTGGCATCTCTCTTTCTCTCTCTCCTTCTGTACACACACACATGACCTTCATTGTCTTTGTGTTGAGGGAAGGTGGTCTTTTAGAAAGTGGTTTAGAAAGATATAGCAGCTGCCTTTACAGAAAGAGCCTGTTCCCTCTTCCCTGTGTTCTTAAAGGTCCTTGGACCAAAAGCATAGTAAGTCTGGGTGGAAAGCTGGTTGTGTTCTTCAAGTAAGCCTAAGTATGTATGTAAATGTAAAATTTTATATGTGTTTTCAAAGCACCTATAAATCTACTGAAATTTATTGTTTTTAAGCAAAAATTTCTGCCTTTCCTTATATATGCGAACATGAAGATAAAGTGGCAGAGTGTTGATGAATGAAAGTCTTAATATATGACTTAATAGACTTCACCATGTGAATTTATGTTTGTAGGTTCTGAAGTGAAAGGGTTGACAATGAAATTAGAAGAAAAAGGAAAGAGAGATTAATCCAGAGCATAGAATTGAGTGAAGTAGTGATATGAGTTCCATGGAAACTGTATTGTTTATCTTAGCTATATATTTATCTGTCTGGTTATCATAAAGAATCTTGGCATTTGACATGTAGCCTCTTTATTCAAAGATAGTTCTCAAGTGAACATCTCATATTGTAGAGAAAATAAATTGGCCAAGGAAAGATATGACAGTTGAGGAGCACGGAATGAAAACAAGCAATGAAATTGGGATATTGTTTGGCCAAGTGGCTACGAAGTTCTTTCCACTTTAAAGTGCTAAATGAATGCAGTTTTCAGAATATATGTGCATGTGTGTATGCATGTATGCATGCAAATGTGTGTGTGAGTTATAGCTTGTGCAAAATGGAGACTTTTAGCAGTTCCTCAGACAATCTTCTCCCCACAGTCTTGGGGAAGATTCCCAGATGGCCACCTGTGCCTAGGTGCCTGGTGGGGTGTGCACCCTTGGCCTCTGCTCATTTCCCCCCTCTCCCGCCTTTCCTTCCATCTGGTTTTAGATGGTGCAGACGTTTTCCCGGTGCATCTTGTGTTCTAAGGATGAAGTAGACTTAGATGAGTTGCTGGCTGCCCGCTTGGTGACATTTCTGATGGACAATTACCAGGAGATTCTGAAAGTTCCCCTGGCCCTGCAGACCTCCATAGAGGAGCGAGTGGCCCACCTTCGAAGAGTCCAGGTAAAGGAGGGGACGTCGTCAGTTCAGTGAGACGGGCAGTGGGAAGTCAAGGAAGCTTGCAGCCTCCCTTTCAAGTTTTGTAGCAAGGGTGAGGTGAACTGGCGTGCACAAAGTGCTTATTCAGGAGGTCTCGGCACAGGCTAAACATGGCATGAGTTTGCTGTTATCATGGGCAGCCATGGGACGCATGCTTGGTTATTAAACCAATCATTGCTCTATGGGTATCAACCCAACACATTGAACAACTTTGGAAATATAGATTATACATGCAGAAAGCGAGCAGAGTTAGAGGTACACTAAAATGTTCGTAATATGTATTTATTTATCATTTTGTTCTCTTCCTTCTTCACTTTTTTATTTCTCTATAGTAACTTAGTTTTTCTTGCTTAGTAATACAATGGAACATTATCCCCTAGCTTCAAATATTCTTTTTTTTTAATACATAAAAGCATTCCAAGGTTTTGATTTCCCTAGTGATTTTCTTTTTTTAATTTAATTTTATTTTATTAATTACAGTTTATTCACTTTATATCCCCCCATAAGCCCCTCCCTCCTCCTCTCCCGGTTCCACCCTCCCTCCCCCTTCTTCACGCATGCCCCTCCCCAAGTCTATTGACACTTGTACCAAGAGCACATTTTGAAGGCAGATACTGTATGAATTCACGGTGTGCCCTTTCTTCCTCTGTGCCTCCTTATTAGGTAATGCTACTGTGCTTCCGTGGTCACCCCAATCTGTCCTTTTTCCTATCTGTAAAATCAGAATGAGAGCTAGTATTTTGATTGGCTGGTGCATATAGAAAAGTGCTTAAAGTAATGTTTTAATATTTACCATATAGCAAAACTTTAACGAGTAGCTGTTATTGAGGTTATTGTTATTACTTGTATGTGATTAATGACATTATTGACAACAGCACATTCCATAGTAGAAATGAATACATAATTAACAAGTGTGGTCCTCTGTGTTTTAAATTTTCTTAGTCTTATGTCAGATATAGGGTTGGTGAAGATCCTTTCCCAATCTGTAGGCTGTCATTTTATTCTGATGACAGTGTCTCTTTTCTCCTTCTTCTGATGTCCATCCTCTTTGCTTTTCTGGATAGGAATTAAGCATTTTAGCAAGAGTCCTCCCTCTTGATTAGTTTCTTTAGGTGTACAGATTCTAGTAGGTTTATCCTATATTATATGTCTATATGAATGAGTATATACTGTGTGCATCTTTCTGCTTCTGGGATAGCTCACTCAGGATGATTTTTTCCAGATCCCACCATTTACCTGGAAATTTCATGATTTCCTTGTTTTTTATTGCTGAGTAATATTCCATTGTGTAGTTATACCACAATTTGTGCATCCATTCCTCCACTGAGGGGCATCTGGGCTGTTTCCAGCTTCTGGCTATTACAAATAAGGCTGCTACAAACATGTTTGAGCAAATGTCCTTATTGTGTACTTGAGACTCTTTTTGGGTATATGCCTAGGAGTGGTATAGCTGTATCTTGAGGAAGCACTATTCCTAATTGTCTGAGAAAGCACCAGATTGCTTTCCAGAGTGGTTGTACAAGTTTACATTCCCACCAGCAGTAGAGGAGGGTTTCTCTTTCTCATTTGCTTTACAGAAGCTTTTCAGTTTCATGAGGTCCCATTGATTAATTGTTGATCTTAGAGCCTATGCCGTTGGTGTTCTGTTCAGGAAGTTGTCTTCTGTGCTGATGAGTTCTAGACTCTTCCCTACTTTTTCTTCTAACAGATTTATTGTGTCTGGTTTTATGTTGAGGTCATTGATCCACTTGGACTTTAGTTTTGTGCAGGGTGATAAGTATGGATCTATTTGCATTTTTTTGCATGTGGACATCCAGTTAGACCAGCACCATTTGTTGAAGATGCTGTCTTTTTTTTTCATTGTATGGTTTTGGCTTCTTTGTCAAAAATCAAGTGTGTGGGTTTATTTTTGGGTCTTCTATTTGATTCCATTGATCCACCATTCTGTTTCTATGACAGTACCATGCAATTTTTATTACTATTGTTCTGTAGTACAGCTTGAGATCAGGGATGGAGATACCTCCAGACTATCTGTTTTTGTAGAGGATTGTTTTAGCAATTCTGGGTTTGTTTGTTTGTTTGTTTGTTTGTTTCCATATGAAATTGAAAATCGTTCTTTCAAGTTCTGTAAAGAATTGTGTTGGTAATTTGATGGGAATTGCATTGAATCTGTAGATTGCTTTTGGCAGGATGGCCATTTTCACTATGTTAATGCTACTGATCCATGAACATAGAGGATCTTTCCATCTTCTGATATCTTCTTCAGTTTCTGTCTTCAGAGACTTGAAGTTTTTTTCAAACAGGTCTTTCACTTGCTTGGTTAGAGTCACACCTAGGTATTTTATGTTATTAGTGGCTATTGTGAATGGTGTAGTTTCCTTAATTTCTGGCAGAGGGCTAATATCCAGAATATATAAAGAACTCAAGAAGTTAAAAAGCAACAAATCAAGTAATCCAATTTAAAAATGGGGTATAGAGCTTAAACAGAGAATTCTCAATAGAGGAATATCAGAAACAGTTAAAGAAATGTTCAACATCCTTAGTCATCAGGGAAATGCAAATCAAAACAATCCTGATATTTCACCTTACACCCATCAGAGCGGCTAAGATTGAAAACTCAAGTGACAGCACATGCTGGAGAGGATGTGGTGAAAGGGGAACCCTCCTCCATTGCTAGTGGGAATGTAAACTTTTACAACCACTTTGGAAATCAATCTGGTGCTTTCTCACAATAAGGAATAGTGCTACCTCAAGATCCAGCTATACCACTCCTAGGCATATATCCAAAATATGCTCAAGTATACAACGAGGACATTTGCTCAACCAGATTTGTAGCAGCTTTATTAGTAATAGCCAGAATCTAGAAACAACCCAGATGTTCCTGAGTGGAGGAAAAGATGCAGAAATTGTGGTACATTTACACAATGGACTACTACTCAGCGATTAAAAACAAGGAAATCATGACATTTTCATGCAAATGGTGGGACCTAGTAAAGATCATCCTGAGTGAGGTATCCCAGAAGCAGAAAGACACACAGGGTATATACTCACTCATAGGTGGATATTAGAAATATAGTATAGTATAAACATATTAAAATCTGTACACCTAAAGAAGCTAAGCAGGAAAGACCACCCTGGGTAAGATGCTCAATCCTCATTCAGAAAGACAAATGGGATGGACATTGGAAAGGAGAGAAAACAGGGCTTAGGGACAGGAGCATATACAGAAGGCCTCTAAAAGACTCTACCCAGCAGGGTATTAAAGCAGATGCTGAAACTCATAACCAAACTTTGGGCAGAGTGTAGGGAATCTTATGAAGGGGGAAATAGAAAACCTGGAGGGGACAGGAGCTCCACAAGGAGAGCAACAAAACAAAAAATCTGGGCCCAGGGGTCTTTTCTAAGACTGATACTCCAACCAAGGACTGTGCATGGAGATAACCTAGAGTTCCTGCACAGAGTAGCACATGGCAGCTCAGTATCCAAGTGGGTTCCCTAGTTAACAGGGACTGTATCTGACATGAACTCAGTGTCTGACTCTTTGATCACCTCCCTCTAATGGGGGAGCAGCCTTACCAGGCCACAGAGGAAGACAATGCAGCCAGTCCTGATAAGACCTGATAGGCTAGGGTCAGAGGGAAGGAGAGGAGGACCTCTCCTATCAGTGGACTATGGAAAGGTCAAAGGAGGAGAAGAGGGAGGGAGGTTGGGATTGGGAGGGAATGAGGGTGGGGCTACAGCTAGAATACAAAATGAATAAATTGTAAGTAATAAAAAATACTTAATTAAAATTTTTTTCTTAGTTTTATTTTACTTTATATTCTTTTAAGACAGACTCTCATATAAAGACCAAGGTAACCTGGAACTCATGTAGCCCAGGCTGACCTTGAATTTGGGGTCAACCCTCCTATCTCAGCTTCCTGACTCCTGGGATTATAGGCATGAGCAACCATTGCCAGCTGTGTTTGATGCTTAGATTATCTCTTATTTATCCCTGTTTTGTAAGTAATATATTAGTAAATATTTTTATAGCTAGAGCTTGGGGAAAGGAGCTGATCCACAACTATTTTCCAAGAGTAAATTCCTAAACGCATCATTGCTGAGTCAAAGACCTTAAATATGCTTTAAATATTGGCCGCACATATCCTTTTAGTTTGAGTGTTTCAGTTTAATTTATGTCAGCATTATGAGAAAATACATGTTCATTTCCCCTTTGCCCATATAATTTGCTTTGTATATCATTCCCATGTATGTATATGCATGTAATACACACATATATAATATATATGAATATATGAATATACTCTATATGCATATACTACCCACATATATTATATATGCATATGTATGTATATTAACACACACTCCCTTGCCATTTGCATTGGTGAACAGATTATCCTACAGATGTTTTTATGAGTCAGGAAAGGTTAGAGCGGGAACTCTTGCTCTGTGTGCTCACATACATAGCAGGTAGATGGCAGCAGCTCCTCTTCGGAGCCCTGTGCTTTTGAAGAGCAAGGGTGAGCTGTGATGTCTAATCTACCTGCAGACAATCTTGTGCTGTGACTGAATAAAATCAGCATTGGCTTTACATGGAGATCAAGCTCAGGTTCCCAGGCAGGCCCAAAATGTGCCTCTACCACTCACCAGCCCCTGATTTCTGTTTAAATTTCAGATCTTATTGAAGAGCACATACACGTGTTCTTTGTTGTTGTTTGTTTGGTTGGTTGGTTGGTTGGTTGGTTGGATTTTTTTATTAGCATGGGTCTCAAGTTCAGAAAAGTAAAACAATCTCTTAGTTTAAAAATGTGCTTCATTATTTATTCTTTTGAAAGCATGAAAACACTTCTCCTTTTCAATATGGCTTTTCCCAAGCAAACTGAAGGAAATATCCTACTCCTTACCAGGAGACATGCTGGTTTTGAATTACTTCTAATTCTGTGCTTTGTGTCAGATAAAATATCCAGGAGCCGATATGGATATCACTCTGTCTGTACCTTCATTTTGCCGCCAAATTAGTCCTGAGGAGTTTGAGCACCAAAGGGCGTACGGCTCCCAGGAGCCACTGGCAGCCTTGTTGGAAGAAGTCATAGCAGATGCCAAACTCTCCCACAAGGAGAAGAAGAAGAAGCTGAAGCAGGTGACGAGGCTGTTCATTTCTTTTGTAGAGTTAGGTTCTACTATTTATCGTTTGTTTTGCTATATGACACGATATGGATCAGCCAAACAAAATTACTTCAAAGAAACTGCTTATAAGGAAAGTATCTAATGTGTGTGTGTGTGTGTGTGTGCGTGCATGTGTGTGTTTATGTAAAGGTTAGGATAATTGTTAGGAGTCAGTTCTCTCGTGCATCTTGGTATTGGGCCTTTTTGAAAGCCCTTCTCCTTATGGAGCCATTTTGTAGAGACTGTTGTTTTTAAATAGGCAGTATCAGTGTGGTTTCTTGTCTCAGACCCCATTAAGTGAGCCCATCAGCCAAACTCAGTTCCTCCTGAGTGAGGCTACACGGCCAAGGGGTTTTAAAGAACAGCTTTCCTGCAGAAAAGCTGAGCTGTGACCTTTAGTTTGTGTTGCTATGAAAGAAAGCCTGATAGAAGCAACTTAAGGGGTGGAGAGGTTTCACTGGCTCCCGGTACAGGTGGTCTATTCAGCGTGACAGGTAAGGGATGCCGGAGCAGCTAGCGTGTGGCAGCGGGAGCATACTTAAGAGCTAGTCATGTCACGATGGGCCAGGGAGCATCCCGGGAAACAAGTAGGGTTATATACCTTCAGGAACCTGCCTCCAGTGATTCGTCTCCTCCAGCCACACTCTGCCTCCCAATTTTCAAAACCTGCCAAAGTCATGCCCCAAGTTGGGAGCCAAGTATTCCAGACGAGGAACCAGGAGGACATTTCCCATCCCAGCCTTGCTTGTACTTTGGCCATCCTGAAAGACTAGTCTTCCCTCAGGTGGATGTATTTTCTTTTCTTTTTGTTTGTTTTTTTATTTTTTCAGACAGACTCTCACTTTCTAGCCAAGGCAAGCCTTGACCTAGTCATCCCCTCAGCTCTGCCTCCAGAGTAGAGGCCTTAGAAGTGGTGCCTTACTACTCTTGCTCTGTACTTCCCTGTGCAGCTGGGTTCCTGGGCAGAGCATCCATAGGCTTCTTCCCAAACATCAGGGTTCTGCACTTCTTTCTCATTTTTCTTCTTCTAATGTTGAAGAGTGGAGTGGTGAGAATCAAAGAAAGCATACATTACCTTCCTCTAAATTTCCCGTGGAGTAATCCATCCAGCGTGTTTTGCCTTCTCTTTTTTGGGTAGAAGGTGGCCGGTCTGAGTTGGACAAGCAGGGTCTTTGTGGGTCAGACATTGTATAGAACAAGAGTTATTTTCAGTTCAGACTTACTTAAGAGTGGAGTTCACAGCGAGGGCTAGTTATAGTTGACAGTGAGAACATTTTGAGAGATTTGATTACAAGGACAACTTCATCTGAAAAATGGGTCAAAGGAATGATGAGGTAGAGCTGGGGCATTGGCGCCAAATAATTTAACCAAAGCAAAGGACAGCAGAGATCAGGAGCTACTAAATTTTGACTGTGTAATTTTTGTGGATCTTTTGTGTCTTTTTTTTTTTTTTGACTCATATTGGACTCCTCTTCAGTTTCAGAAATCTTACCCTGAAGTCTACCAGGAGCGGTTTCCTACACCAGAAAGTGAAGCACTTCTCTTTCCTGACAAACCCAAGGCCAAGCCACAGCTGTTCATGTGGGCTCTCAGGAAGCCTTTCCAGCCATTTCAGAGAACTCGAAGTTTCCGGATGTGATGCAGTGGCAGAGCTTTGCAGACCTCAGTGGTACGGGCAGCTCAGAGTCAGTTGAAGTTGAAGATGCTGTAATAAGCTTCTGAACTACGGAATTTCAGAGGAATCCTCAAATTATCGACTCCTCGAATATTGAGCCTTTATCAGTGTTTTTTACAAATCCTGATGCTGTTTTTAGAGATGTACAAGTCAGTGAATGATTCCAAGTTGAATGTGTAATGGTGATGTTAACAGGCTTGGGATTGTTACAAAAAGGTGAAGTGTTGCCTTCCTTCTATTCGTTTTTTTCCATGGTGTGTAAAGTCATTGTGTGTGCTTCCTACTCATGGACACCTTTGTGAAAGCCAAGCTCAAGAGTACTGTACATACTTGAATCAGAACAACACTGTGCTGTTACTGTGGTGCCGTCGACTTAGGCGCCAACTGTGATTTCTCCTGTGTAAATCCCATGTTTTTTTATGTCTTTGTTTTTGTTTTGTTATTGTACAAAAGTACAAAAGTCCCAATATTTTGCATTGTGATGGCCCTGCTCTTTTTTTTTTTTTTCTTTCTTTCTTTTTTTTTTTTTTCCACATATGCCAGTTGCTGTGAGGTTTGCTAACACTGGCTCTTCGGTTAGTCCTATATCAGTCTGCGCATGCCAAGATGAGGAGTAGTTTGATCTGCCCACAGACATGTAATTTGAGCCTAAGCTAAAGAAGGAAGGTTGAGCTGAATGAATTCTTTGGTTTCCTTTAGACCTGTAAATCTAAATTAAATCTTTGTTTGGTTTTATGAAAAGCATAAATGGGTTGGGCAAGATAAAGTTACTTCCTTTATGAATGTATTTTCTCAGCTTCTTCATTCTTTTGAAGATTAATGAAATGTAAATAAATACTGAGGTTTTTTAAAAAAATATATATATATACATATATATCTTATGCCTAGTGTTTTTCTTCTTGGCTGTTTATTTAGATAAATTAGAGAGCCTCCTCCAATGCCTTTGCCAATGTTTTCACTTCACTCTCTGTTTGTATCAGAAACTAAGTGAGGTTTATTTTGGCTTTTGTAATGGCATCAGGAGAGTATGACCCCTCCCACCCATGTCTGTCTGACTCTATTTCTGCCTCTGTCTCTCCTTCCATTTTTCCTTCTCAATCCTCTCCCTTCCCCTCTTCTCCCTTCTCTCTCCATTGTTTCTTCTACAAAACGGTGGAGCATCTGAAACACCTCTGAAAGTAATTACCCTGAACTGAATTTGTGTTCCTGTACTTGAGACCCACCCCTGGTTGCCTGTGGCAGAGAATCTTCCGTAGTTGACAGAGACTTGTCCGTTTAAAAACACGTAAATATTCCTCTTTGTTTAAGTACTGTTTCAAATAATTAATGTGAAGGTGACTTTTAGACTCTCAGCATTCTTAGACTTTGACATTTGGTTGAAGCAAAGATAGTTCTGGTTTCTGCTCAGTGTTGTTCTGTGGTGGAGGACCCTTTATCTGCTGTTTTTGGAAGTGTGTGTGTGTGTGTGTGTGTGTGTGTGAGAGAGAGAGAGAGATTGCTTCATTTGCTTTATGTTTTGTGCTTGCTTCTTGAAACGTGTGTAAAGTTCTTATGTGTAAGAGTTATAAACCTGCACAGGGGTAGCCCATGGCAGTTCAGTGTCCAAGTGTGTTACATAGTAATGGGAAGAGGGACTGCCTCTGACATAATCTGATTGGCCTGCTCGTTGATCACTTCCCCCTGAGGGGGGAGCAGCCTTACCAGGCCACATTAGAGGACAAGGCAGCCACTTTTGATGAGAACTGATAGACTAAGATCAGAAACAAGAGGAGAACCTCCCCTATCAGTGGACTTGGGGAGTGGCATGCATGCAGAAAGGGGAGGGAGGGTGGGATCGGCAGGGGAGGAGGGAGGGGCTTATGGGGGGATACAAAATGAATAATGTGTAATTAATAAAAAAAAAAGTATAAAAAAAAAGAGTTATAAACCAAGTATACAACTGATGCTAGGGAGCAACAGTTTTCCTGAGTGCTTGTACCAACGAATACACGCGTGATCAGTGTGCATTTCTTTTACCTAGCAGCTTCACCACTGCTTACCTAATTGGGTTTGACTCGTCAATGCCTAGTTAAATATCGGTGTCTGACTATGGTTTCACTCTGATTTTATTTTTCTTGTTGTTGTTTTGAGACAGGGTTTCTCTGTGTAGCCCTGGATGTCCTGGAACTCTATTTGTAGACCAGGCTGGCCTCTAACTCAGAGATCCACCTGCCTCTGCCTCACCAGTGCTGGGCCTGAAGGTGTGTGCCACCATGCTCAGTGGCTTCACTCTGATTTTAATATAGCTGTACATTTTTTCCCATACGCCTTTAGACTTTACATATTTGTAAAAATGTAACTACTTTTTATTTATACACATTCTGTGATTAAGAGTGTATTGAACCTATGAACCAATTTGGTAATATTGCTATATTTACCATGGTGCTGGTTAGGTTTTGTCAGCTGGACATAACCTGGACTCCCCTGGAAAGTGGAAACCTCAGTTGAGGAGGTTTCAACAAACTGTCCTGTGGGCAGGCCTGTGGGGGCATTTTCTTGACTGATGATTGATGTGGGAGGCCCCAGCCCTCTGTAGGTGATCCCCCCCCCCCACCAACAGGTCCTTGTAGAAGGAAGCAGACTTACATGAGCAAGCCACAGAGAAGAAGCCAGTTAGCAGCATACCTCTTTGGTCTCCTTATCAGTTGCTGCCTCCACGTTCCCACCTTGAGTTCCTGCCCTGACTTCTCTTCACAGTGGACTGTTTCTGCCTCGGGTTGTTTTCGGTCCTGGTGTTTCCCACAGCAACAGAAAAGAGAACAAATCCACCCATAGCAGGCATTCCAATCACGAGCCCACCATTAATTTTTGATAGATGAAAATGTTTATTTTTTTCTTTAAAGGTTTACAAGTGTTTTGTTCCTAGCTATTTAATACTTTGGAAAATGTTAGTATTAGCATGAGTTTTGATTCCACTATAAATGTCTGGAAGCTTTCTTTTCTTCTCCTTGTATGGATTTTAAAGCTGAGCTTTGTTTACTCACACCATGAGAGCTTTCTGGGGGACTTGCATGAGGCTTAATAATAAAGCGAGAGGTGTCTGTATAGGATGAGGCTGTTGGCTTTTTGCCGCCCCTCAGCTAGCTTTTCAAATTTATCCCAACTTCCCTGCCATTGTGTCTCTGCCACATGGCTCCCTCTCCTCCCTTATCTGTTCCTGTCTCTGCTTATGTCTCCTGCCTTGTCTTTCTGCCCAGTCCTTTTGCCCCAGCTCCAGCGGCCAGCTCTTTATTTTGCACAAAGCCACACTCCTTACTCAACCAATCTGAACCAATCAGCAGCAGGACAGCACCCAATCTAGCTCTCTGTGTTGCCTTTTGACACTGAGAGACACATGACCTTCTCCATGGCAGCTTGCTTTTTTAACATGATAATCTCAGAGAGTTATCTTTTGGGCAGGTGAGGAAGGGCAAGCATTTACATATAGAAAACAGGTAATAGGCCATAGAAGTGACAATACCAAATATCCTGCCAGGTCTTGTCTCTGCCAGCACAGCAATTGACAATTGAAAATACAGGGTACACCTACATAGCCATTTCATACAATGTGTGTGAGTGTAGGTCATCCAGCAGACTGTCATGGCTAGTGGCCTTGCTATACTTTCTTACTAATTCTAAATACTTAGTGTGACATCTTTGTTTGATTTTTCTGTTTTCTGCCTATCAGCAAACAGTGGCCTTTTGGTTTTCTTTTCTGTCTCTGAGCTATTCCCAGTAGTCCTTGTTTTCTGATACTTACAATTATATTTGTTTGTGTTTGGTGTATGTATATATGTATGTGTGTTGTGTGTGTGTGTGTATGTGTGTGGTATGTGTGTGTTTGCTGTGTGTGTAGGGTGTGTGTGGTGTATGTGTGTAGTGTTGTGTATGTGTGTATGGTGTGTATGTGGTGTGTGTTTGGTGTGTGTGTGGTGTATGTGTTTGGTGTGTGTGTGTAGTGTGTATGTGTTTGTGTGGTATATGTGTGTCTCTGTGTGTTTGCTGTATATGTGTGGTTTGTTAGTGGTGTGTGTGTGTATGTGTGTGTAAATGATGTATATATGCTGTGTATGTGTATTTTTGTGGTGTGTATGTGGTATGTGTGTGTGTGTGTAATATGTATGTTTGTGTGGTGTGCGTGTGTTTGTGTGATATGTACCTTTTGTGGTGAGTGTGTTTGTTGTGTGTAGGGCGGGTAGGTCAGTCAGAGGACAGCTGCTAGGAGTCAGTGCTATTCTTGTTGGGGTTGAAGAACTAGGGCGTTAAGCTTGGCAGTGGCACCTATACCTGCTAAGCCTTCTCTCGGCCATTCCTGAGAGTTAATGCTGTGTAAACTCCTTTCCTCGAAAAATGGGATAGGGAGAGCCTCTGTGTGTCAGAGCTGCTCCTTCTTGTCAATGTTAGGTCCAAACCCTGCAGTGGCTGAGGTGCACAATTAACATATCAAAGTGGACCTGGCCCATCATTCCTCAATTCCTGTCTGTTAACAAGGTTTGCTGATATATCCTTGCCCGACCCTAAACTTCTCCTCCACCAGGGGCTGGGCTGCCCTTCTCTATATAATCCAACCATTTTGGTTACCTGGCCTCTTGTTTGGTCTACCCTTTACCCTCCTCGCCTCTTAGTCTGGCTCTTTTCAGTCTGGCTCTTCTTCCCTTCCCCTCCCCTCACATGGCCTGGCTCAGGGTCATGTTCACTCTGGACTCTCCCAGAAGGGGCTGTCTCTCATCCCTTTTATCTACAATATATCTTATCCTCCACCATACCTAGGAGCAGTCCTCTCTCTCTCTCCCTCTCTTTCTTTCTCTCTCTCTCCTTTCCTTTTTTCATTCAGTCACAGCCAGTGGCAATGGAAGGTCTGGCAATAGCTTTTAAACCCTACCTTAGTCCGGCTTGCAATGATCAGCCCCAGCTGATGCTCTGAATGGCAGTTTTTAAAAGACTCAGCCAGCTGGGCACAGTTGTGAATGCCTGTGATCCCAGCACTGGGGAGGCAGAGGCAGGTAGATCTCTGTGAGCTGGAGGCCAGCCTGGTCAACAAAACAAGTCCAGGACAGCCAAGGCTACAGAGAGAACCTCCCTCTCCAAAAACCAAACCAACCAAACAAAAACAAAACAAACAAACAACCCCTCAGAGACAACAGGACTAAACTAAGCTGGATTTCCAGACTCACAGAAACTACCACAGAAAAACCTGTAATTTCATAATAATTTGCACTATAATTTTTACTTCAGTAGTCGAAATGATAATACTGTTTAAATTCTCTCTCTTTCCCACCCCTTGAAATGTTAAACTGCCTCACAGCCCTGGAGACCCTCACTATCATGCTGAACAGAGATAGTGAACCTGTCACTCTTCTTGTTTTTTTTTTTTTAAAGGGAAAACTTTTAAGATGCTTTGGAGCATTTGTGTATTACTTTTTATCATAGCAGATGAAGGTATTTTAATTTTGGTGTGCGTGT